AAATTACAAAAAAAAAAAAAAAAAAAAAAAAAAAAAAAAAAAAAAAAAAAAAAAATCTAAAACCAAAATTATTATAAAATAATCGAATTCATAAAGTTTTCATTTATTTGAACTCAATTCAAGACAAACAATGTCTTGTGATGGCTCAAGCCCGCCATTAGCATATATCTTATCCTATTTGGACTTCCCTTCAAGGTTTTTAAAAAGCTTTTGCTACAAAGAGTTTTCACACCCTTCTTTCTCCTCTCCAACCGATGTAGGATTTCACAATCCACACTCATTCGGGGCCAGCATCCTTACTACCATTCGTTCCCTTCTTCAATCGATGTGGGACCCACCAATCCATTCTTCTTCGAGGCTCAACCTCCTCGTGGTCACATCGCTCATAAACTAACTCTGATACCATTTGTAACGACACAAGCCCAACTCTAGGAGACATTGTCCTATTTGATTTTTTTTTTTTTTTTTTTTTTTTTCTAGAACCACAAAGTGAAAATTTAAAGAAATAAATAAATAAGTGAAGGTAATAATTGAATAACTTACTGTTGTTCTTGGAGATGCCATCCAGACAAATTACCAACTTCGAACATAGAATCCCTCCAGCTTTGAACTTCTTTAAATCCAACCTTCTCTTCATGTTCTATAAACGGCTTCTCAAAGTTCCCCTTCTGCTTCCTCACATTGGCTGGATCTATTTGGTAAAATATTGGAAGAACCAACTGATCCCTCACCTCCTTATACATTCTAATCTTTGCCAATTCCTTCATCGAAACTAAATCCCCATAGTTCTCCGAGAAAACCACGATCGATGACCTCGATTCTTCGATCGCTGTCAGCTTCTCCGTTAGCATTTTAGCTTCGTTCTCATTCTTGTTCTCGTCTCTGAAAACTACGATTCCTTGAGCCGACAGAGCATTGTGGAGATCGGCGGCAAAACCGCTGCCAGTGTCTTCGGCTCGGTGGCTGATATAAACGTCGTAGTTTCGTTTGGGAGGAGAAAATGATACTATAGAGGGTACTCTCTCCATGATTGCAGGAGACGCCATTGAAGGCCGGTGAGAGATGGTTTGAAAGAACAAAATGGATTCTAATGGGAATTTGAATGGATGGCCTAAATGGGTTCTAAGTCTATTATTGTGTTCAAATTTAATATTCATTTCATCTTTTGATGCTTTGAACTTTTTAAATGAGTGTTTGGATCCCCCACCTGTTATTTTACCTATAGAATAATCTCCCATCATTTTTATATTCGATATAGTATGGATATATATAAATAAATGATTATTGGTATGAGATTTTTTGAGAAAATCAAAAGCTTAATGTGATATCCAACATAAGTTAGGAGGAGAACCAAACACCTTTTATAAAGGTGTGGAAACCTTTCACTAGCAGATGCGTTTTAAAAACCTTGAGATGAAACTCGAAAGGGAAAGCCCATAGACACTAGGCGGTGTGCCAGTAAGGATACTGGGCGCCGAAGGGGGGTGGATTTGGTAGGAGTCCCACATCGATTAGAGAAAAACATTGAAGAGAAGCCCGAAAGGAAAAACTCAAAGAGGACCACATTTACTGGTAGTGGGCTTGGAGCTGTTACAAATTCCATAGCGAATTGTTTGTCAAAAGAGGTAAAAAATCAATCAAAAGTGATGAATAGTCAAGGGATCAGAGCCCACTACCCAACACCTCAAGTTGACCCGAAGCACGCACAGCTCAAGCGATGTCATCCCCTCATATGGATCTCGTTATCGACCCAACTAGTAGAATCGCTTTAATGTGTGACTTCAGCTCGGCTCAACGGCTCCTTTTGACTCCAACTTAGCTTAAATGACTCATTCAATTCTAGTTTAGATTTTCACACTCTCTTACCATTATTTTTTTTTCTTTTGTTTTGAAGCTGTTTTTGACATTATTTGGTGTCTTTGAGGTTAGTATGACCACTGTTTGACCAATTTGACATAATTAGAGCGAAGTCTCAGGTTGGTTAATGAACTAGATGAGTTAATTTTCATGACGATATTCTAAACATGATATTGTGGAACCTCATAGGTGGAATTGAATTTCGAGGATCAAGATCAAGCTAGCTCAAAAGATATTTCGCGACTCTAGTTTAGGTCAACCAAGTAAGTGGTCTTACTGTCGGAACGCCCTTGGGCTTGGTTAGACGACTCATATGCTGTATGAATGACACATTCTCTATGTCTTTTGAACATATCATATTTTTATGATACAATGGTGTGTTATGTATGATGTGATATGTGATAATTATGTTATGTTATGATATGAGTATTATATGATGTAAGAACTTCTAGTATGTCACACTATGATAGCACATTCACATTACACCTATGAGACATTGATGAGCAACATATGTTAACCATGATAGATATGTTGAGTATACATATACATGTTTCATAGGAACTTTATATCATGAAATGAATGGAAGTATGATTTGCATCATAACTATGTACGATAGTTTGAAACTATAGGACCTCATGGATATTGTATGTCACGAGCATTGAGATACTTCTCCATTACAATGAGTATGGATGCATACACCATGATACGATAGACATTTCTTTCCATTCATGGCTTTCAACAATATGAGCATGCGCTAACCTGTAGTCAACTTAAGGGTACATATACGAGTCTACCTAGTGGATTCATGTGCACGTGTGTGGATCGTGTGTAGAGAAGTATTACACATCCAACCCACCCCAAACTGAAAAAGTAAAGCCCAAAGAACAATTTTTGAAAAATATAGGTCCTACCAAAAACCATGATGGCATTTAATTGCATTTTCCAATACCCGATAAAGCTCATTACATATAATATCACTTATATATCATATTCATATTCTATCAATACAATATATCAATATCTATTAGTAGTAGACTTTCATTAGTGATAGGTTTATCGGACCAATAAGACTTAAACTTGTGTCAGAACATACTAGATTTTATATTCATTATCGAAGTTTATATCCGTTATCGAAGATGGTTATATTTCTAAGTGATAAAACCCACTTAAAATAATACTCTAAATGTGAATTGCTTTTAAGAATGGGACAAATTTGGGGCAATTGGTTTTAATATTAGTAGGGTATGTCATCATCGTGGTGGGCAATGCCTCTACCTTGGCTGTCTCAGCCTTTGACTTTGTTAGCATGATTCAAGGAGGTGGCGACAAGGAAAATACTAAACTAAGTTATCATGTTATGGTCTTTTTTTATTTCATATTTAGCGACAGCCCTTCAAAATGTTTCTAAGGTTTTTCTGACTTATTTTGGGTATTTGGACCTTTGTCTCTCAACTCTAAATCTCTGACATCCTTATCTTTAAGGTTTTCAAAAATTAAGGTAAACTAAATTTTCTTCATATGACCAAACTACCCCTCTTAATTATTTATGATTTCAATACATACTTACCTTTTTGTATAATAAAGAAATACATTTTATTCTTTTGTGAAAGTAATAATGTTTTATTAATCATCGACTTTTTAAATTTAAATGACGGGTTCGTTACTAAAAACATGTCATTGTTAGTGTAATGTACAGTTGTAACGACCCAAACACACCGTTAGCAGATATTGTCTTCTTTGGTCTTTCCCTTTCGGGCTAACCCTCAAGGTTTTTAAAACGCGTCTGCTATGGAGAGATGTCCACGCCCTTATAAAGAGCTTCTTATAAAGAGTGTTTCATTCTTCTCCCCAATCGATGTGAGATCTCACACTCTATCCCCCTTCAAGGCTTAGAGTCCTTACTGCCACTCGTTCTTTTTTGCAATCAATGTGCCACCGCCTAGCATCCTTGTTGGCACTTCACTTCATGTCCACCTCCTTCGGGACTTAGCCTCCTCGCTGACACATCGTCTAGTGTCTTGCTCTGATACCAATTGTAATAGTCCAAGCCAACCGCTAGCAAATATTGTCCACTTTGGTCTGTTACGTATCGTTGTCAACCTCACAATTTTAAAACGTATATGCTAGGAAGAGGTTTTTACATCCTACCCTTATAAGGAGGGTTTCGTTCTCCTCCTCAACCAATGTGAGATCTCACGACCACGATCAAATGATCGTGAAATCGAGCCAAGAAGACAAATCGAACACGAGAAACAACGAGGCCAGACACCAAGACAAAGGTGGTGGTATAAATTTTGAAACCAATAACGACAGTGAAGCCAAAATTCTCTCATTTGGCCATTCCCAGCAATGAATTTTTGTGAGAGAAGTCGATTCTGGCTTGACTTTTATGAACAGTAGGTAGGTTTCTTTTTTCATTATTAGTTAACACATGTCATTGTTCCAATGTGAGAGTTCATGCTCAAAGTGAATAATATCGTGCCATTTACGAACATTTCGTGACTAAATTGTAATAATTGGTAAGCCAAGTTTGTCCAAAAGCAAAAAGTGCTAGCCATGTGCTGATATGATCAATATCAATTAGTTGCTTATTTTAAAACACAAGTGGGGATTCATTAATCTAATCTTTGCATAATCTAAAATGGTCTCTCCGATCTCAAAACATTACTTTTATCACTCAATGATGGAGCTTTGGATAATTATATCCAAGCTTTTGACAAATTTCCAAATATTCAAGTGGATTCAACACCTACTAAAAGCTTGCATTTCTTTATATCAAGAACTTGTCGTTTTGTTTGTTCTTCTTATGGTCGGTATCTATATTTGTTTAGAACAAATATTGGGCCTACTCCAAGTGATTTCTTTAGACATATATTTGAGTACATATGTATTGTTAGGTCATATTTCGTTGAATAATATATAACCATAGCTGAAGTCCACCTATTATCTGTTTTTGTTCGTTACATATTGTCATCAGTCTCATAGTTTTAAGATACGTAACGAGACAACACGGACAATAAAGGTGAGTTTGGACGGTTATAAATGGTATTAGAGTCAGACACGGGGCATTGTGTCAGCAAGGACGCTGGCACCCAATGAAGGGTGGATTGTGAGATCCCACATCGGTTGGAGAGGGAAACAAAACATTCGTTATAAGGGTGTGAAAACCTCTCATTAGCAGACGCGTTTTAAAACCATGAGGTTGATGACGATACGTAACGAAATAAAGCGGACAATACCTGTTAGCGGTGGGCTTGAACTATTACATAATATACGAAGAATTAACAAACCATGAATAAGTTGATTATGATAATAAAATAAAATAAAAAAACTAAAAGAAAACATTCGAAAGCTTGGTAACAATTTGTAGCACATGACTTTTAAAACATGATGAAATTAAGATCGCTACCATATGCATACTATGAAGGTCTTTCAAAATTTAATCAAGTTGTAAATAACTAAAATATAAAAGCTCTCGAAATAAATGAAGCTTTTATTTGTGATCTTAAAAAAAAAACAAAATTAAAATCGGAATCGCTACCATTAGTAGTTAGATTATGCATGATTAGAATATTAGTCGAGTAGCTAAGATAAGTATGGTGAACATGTGGTAGGAAAGGTCTAAATGTTCTTAGAATGAAATTTTATATATCTAAGTAACCAAGGTTAAAAATAAAAGGTAAAAAAATTAAATAAATAATATTAATAATAACTTATTCATCTCTCTACCAATCTCTCACCACTACTACCCTAAGATAATTATGATATCTAAAACAAAAATGGTTCAATTAGATTTACCCCATGGAGCTTGAAAATGGGTTTAAATCTTGCTTCTCAATTATTTAGATGGTTGTTAGAAATTAAATACAAAGAACAATCTAGGGTTTAGTAAATCAAATCACGATTGGTAGCTAAAAAACTTCTCCTATTGCATAGTCTCTCATTCAGATTGGTGGTCTCTTATTCCTCGCCTTATTCGAGCTAGAAGAGCTTGCTTCAGCCAAAGAGCCAGAGGAAATATTTTCCTTTGTAGTATTTTCATCTGACGCTTCTATATCATAGAGTGTATAAGCTTTTGACTCTTCACTAACTCCCAGCAAAACATAACTCAAACACTTATCATCTACCTTAGTTCTCTGAGCTGCCTCCTCTTTTTGTCTCTGAATAAACTCGAGCTCACAATATTGTTCTTCTTCCTTCCACTGCAGCTCCAGAGCTAATTGTTGCTGAGCTTTTTCTACTATTCTCCTATTCTCTTCCAACAT